AAAAATCAAGTCCGAGAAGGTTTAAGCGTGGTGTCTCTGAAGTACAAGGCAGGAGACCTTTATCCAGCAGAAAACACGGTGTTTGCGCAGCATCCCGGGAGCCGCGGGCTGCTTGGTGGAAATTAAAGGTCATTCTTTTTTATGTTTTTTTTTTTTTATATAGGTGCAGCAGAAATATAGGATTTTGAGAACAGAGGAGTGATAAAACCACAAAACTACACAAGCTGCAGTGCTCAAAACACACCTTGTTCCTCGGTGCTCCTCCTCACCATAAATACAGGGAGGCAGCACAGCTCGTGCAGGGGCTGGAAAGGGACCGAGACCCAGGAGCTTCATCTCGGTGGCCCTGGGGACCACGAGGTCTATTTTTCAGTGCCAGGATTTCCAAGGACGTGGAAGCAACAGGGCAGTGCTGGGGGCTGGAGGCAACCCTGCCCCGCGCCCCCCTGCTCTCCCCACGTGCCCGCTGCATCTCCTCGCCTCCTCCGCCGGCTCCCACCTGCGCTGTGTTTGCAGGAAAACTATTTTCTGCAATCCGTCTGCCACTCCAGAGCCATTAGCATCCTCCCACAATTTGGGCTGTCATTTTCCCTAATGATGTATTTAAAGGAAATGATACCGCAGGCACAGCATTTCTCGCTGCTCACAACACATGGCAAGTAACAGCACCAGGCGTGAGTCAGCCGCCGCGGCTCTGTTTCACTGCTGGCTGCTCCTCCTGGAAGGCATTGCAGGGCACAGCCGTGCTCACCACGCCACAGCAATCAGCCCAGGGCAGCCCGTGCAGGGATTCTCCCCAAAACCCACTGATTTGGGTGGATCCAGCCCCGTGCAGGGCTCCCACAGGTGCACCCAACCCGAATTTCTGCACCAACAGGAGATACAGCTCGAGCCTGGGTGGGATGGGTGCTGCAGGGAAACTGCTGCCTGGTTAAACGAGGGCAGGGCTTATGTGCAGTGACGTCTGGTGAGGGTTTTATATATGGCACAGCTACGGCTGGTGCGTTTGCTAGATAGTTTTTTTTTATTTTATTTCTCCCTTTATGGCTAAGCTATAGCAATTGCACGGTGAAGCCCAGGGACCGGATTGCGCATCGAACCCATCCATCCTCGGAGCTGCAGGGCAAACAGAGGCTATTTTAAACCTGAACACCAAGAAAAAAAAATAAAAAAATAGAAAGAGAAGATAACTCCAGCTCCCCAAATAGCTCCCAAGCAGAAATACATCCCAGAGACGCCGTTAAAAACACCTGGGAGTTCATTTATTGCCATTAAGTTGATGAGCAGCAGCATGAAAAGCAGAGACAGACAGCTGTCATGCGCACCTTCTCATTCAAAACCGGCTTTTCTCAATGGCAGCTCCCCTCCAGAGAGCTGCCAAACGCTCCGTGCTTGTCGTGAGCATTTCATGTAAAATACAGGGAAGGACAAAACGCTGCCTCGCGTCCCAGCGGCAGCAGGGAGCCCACCGGAGCAGACAGCTCCACGTGGAAAGCTCAGCACATCCCCTGCCTTCAAGCTCACAGCTTCCCAGGCTGCTTCACCACCTCCTGCCGTGCTCATTCCTGCAGCTCTGAGGATGGCATCCTCTTCGATGGCACGGTTTTTGTCCCTGCAGGTGAATCCTGGTGCAATTTGCTGCTGAGCTCGATGCACCGGGCAAGACCAGAGCCAAGCTTTTGTGAGCACACCTTGTAGTTCCTCACAGCTCGCCCATTTGGGTGAAAAACCTCACCATTGATTAGAAAAGAGGAAAAACCTCTCCAGTTCCTCGTGGCATTTCTCACCAAGAGGTACATTTTAACTGTGAAATGACAAAACCCGTCAGGATCAAACCCGCTGCACCCAGCACGGATGGGAACCAGGCAGCTGCACACACTGAGGGTGAGAGCTGGCAGCATCCCCGCCTGCAAGCTTCCAGATGGGAGCAATCTGGGAGGAAACAGCTTCCCTTCCACCTGAAACCCTGCAGGCAGCCCGGGCTGCTGCATCCCTGTGTCCTGGCACGAGCACCGCTCCCCTTGTCATACAAATTATTGCACCGCAGCTTGTACAAGCAGGAGTGGAGACACATTTATTGCTACCCATCAGTGGGCATTTCCCTCTCCATAAGTGATGCAGAGCAGCCAGGAGGAGCAGGGGGGACACATGAGGCAGCTTCTGGAAGCCCAGGGACAGAAGCAAAGTGCCCAGAGCCTTTGAGACCTGCTTGTGCCCAGCTCATCTCAGCCCCACAGGCACCCCTTGTTGTACCCATTGAAGCACTGGTGGCACCAGAAACCCACCAGCTTGAAGGCAAACAGGTGGGCAAGAAGGACCTGCATCTGCTTAGATGTAGGATCCTGCGGGGGGACACAAGGAGGAGCTGGGGGAGATCTACCCCAGCTGGTGAACATCGTGGGAGAGAAGAGTGCAGAGCAAGTGGTTGCCATTCAGTTTACAGGATGCGTACCGAGCCTCCTGTCCGCTTTCCAGCACAGGTCCAACAAGCCTTCCTCTTGATTAATCTTGCCTTCTGTCGCCTTGGCGAGCTTGGGATGCCACATTGCATGAGGAGGATGGGAAGAGACCCCCGGGCTCTCCCCAGCGCAGATGGAGGGGGGCTCTCCACCACTCATCCCCCACGTTACGAAAGCCCAGATGATCTGAAAAGCAGTTTTCCTTCCCCACTCCCCATGGTTTTGCAACCTCAAACTGCCACGGAGGGTAAAGCATCGCTCAACACTTTGCTGCCCTCCCCTTTAATCCCCAAAGTTCTTAATTACCAAAGGGGGTGGCAGCGAACTCTCGATCCATCGGCACGCTGAGTGTTTGCCCTTCTCAGGCATTAATTTCTAATACGTGAGTAATTTGGAAATTTCAAACGTACCAGGTGTGTAATTTGGAGCAGTGTGTCACTAAATAGAGAGCTCGTAGCCGGGTGGATTTCAATCAGATCGGAGCAATTTAACTTGCAAAATACAGGTTGCAGCTCTGGGAGGAATGGAAACGCCGCCTTTTGTCTGAAACGCCACGCTCGTGTCTCTCACCAGGAGAGGCTGTTGTCAGTCACTCTGATTCCAGCAGGCATTGTTATTGCTAAACTCTGTCTTCGCTATTTCTGGAAGAAAAAGCAGAATTTCCATCAGGCTCTGCATTGCTCCGTTTATGAATGCTGGCAAAACAGGCTGGGGAGCGGGAGCGTGGTTTGCACCAGGCAGTCTGCAAGCCAGGAGACAAATTTCCCTCCATGCACCGTGACACAGCCCTGACCTCATCCCGGCTCCATCACCAATGCAAAGTAAAATCTTGGCCAGAATCTAAGATTTGCCCCCAAACCAGCCGCGCAGCCCCTGGGGACCCAGCTGAAGGCAGGGGCCGCAGCCAGGCGCACGTCCCCGGGGAGATGCTGCTCCTGCTGATAACAGCGCAGGCAGGTTTGGAAGCATGATAATGAGGCAGGCCAAGGCTGTTTTGCATTTCTATGGCCTTGTTTGGATCAACTTGAATTTTATACACTGTGTTTACGCCGATAAGCGTGTGCGTGCACCCATGCACGACTCCGTAACGCCCCGTCTCCCTTTGCTTTCCCTCAATCAAGCTGTCTGAGAGACAAAGCCAAGCTCCAAGAGCTCCTAATGATCTCCAGAAATAGCACCGAGACGACTCCGCTAGAAGCTAAGAAAAGCATCCACCACCAAGACGAATGGCAGAAGCGAAGGCTGGCGGCCTCTTGCAGTGGGCTGGGGGCTTGGGGGGGCTCCCAGCAGCCACAATTTGCTCGGTGAGAAGCCCCCCTCATCGCATGGCTCCCCCCAGCTCTCCATCCTGGGGTGATCCTGCAAATAACCCATTTTCCCATTGCTCTGCCTTGCTGTTTCCCATAGCATTCCTGCGGATGCAGCAACCAACCTCAGGAAAGGCTATTTTCACGTAGGAATAAGACAAGGATGCCAGGAGTTGTTTGCAGAGCCACGCAGAAGCAGGAGGACCTTCTCCATGTCCCACCTTCAGCCCAAGGAGAGGCTGCAGGCACATCAAGGGGGTGCTCACCTACAGCAGGCAGCAAAGGGTGGCACTCGCTGGGGCCCGCAGGCACATCTTTTTGCTCTCTGCCTCCATCAGGCTGTAAATATCCTAAAGGAGCCAAGAAAACGCTTCTCTGGGCTTTATTAGGGCAAGCCATGAAAAAATAAAAAAAATAAAAAAAATCCAAACTGGTTGCTTAGGAGCTCTGGAGTTTAGGATTAAAGACAACGGGGCGATCCTGCCCACTGGCAGTGCACCAGCAGCATCCCAGAGCACAGAGATGATTTTTTACCACCATCTGGTTGCTGGGGGGCATTTCACAACCAAAACCTGGATTTGGCAGCCCAACACCATCACCCGGTGCTGCTCCACCAGCTCAGCCCACCTGCAGCACCTTCGAGCTCTCGGTTAGGAGGAATTTAGGGCATTTTAAGGGAGAATCCCCCCTTGGGGGACACCTTCAGCATCCCCCAGAGCTCCCGGCAGCAGCCCCATCCCCTGTGGCACAGCCACTGCAAGTCTGCACGTGTGGCACTGCAGGTCCCAGCACAGGGAAAGATGACGATGTGCCTTCTAGCTCCTGGAGCAAAAAGCTTCTTTTCTTCTTGTGGAAAGGGTAATATATACAGCGAGGCTTTCTTATCAGCTCTGCAAGTCAGCCACGCCGCCGCAATAAAGGCTGCTCGAAAAACCGAGGACAAGGTTCCGAAGCAGGAGCTGTTGTAAATCCTCCTCCTCGCTATCTTATTTCTGTCCCCAGCAGACAGATTCATGGCTGGTTCGGGCCAGGAGGTGCCCTTCCCTACCTGCCAGGAACAGCTTTAAAGCCAGATCCCCCTCTTTTTTTTTTTTTTTTCAGATCTCATTCAGAGCCAGCTGCTGCTTTCTGCCCTCGACCCCCCGTGAATATTTCCTTGCCACTCACATTCACTCCTAGCCCTGATCCCGCTGCTGGCATGGAGTTTATCCCGCTTTGGATAATCACCAGGCGAGTGACATGTTCTGTTCTCGGTTTTGTTTGCGAGGCTGACTACAGGAGTGAAATCACGTAGCTGTCATGCCGAATGCCAACAGGTTTAGCACAAGTGCTTCTCCCCAGAGCTACCAGCAGAGCTCATTTCTAATCCGCTGCGTGCTCACGCCTCCCCAGGGATGCGGGGTGGCTTTTAAATCCCTGCTTCCAGGGCTCCTTTTCCCTGTGTCAAAATTGGGTGGAATAATTTGATTTTGATATCCTTGAAGTTACCCGTTACTTGCTTCCACCTCCAGGTCCCACGTCCAGCCCCTGGGCTCCACCGCTGGGTGATGTTCTACCCTGACACGCCGTGATGGATGGCAGGAAGGAAAAAAAAATTCAATTCCCTTGAATATTTAATATTAATTGAGGAAGTGGATGGGAAAAATCGGGTACACTCTGCACAAACACTTAATAGGCCAGATGGGTTGGAGTAATTCTAAGCAATGGTTTAGTAAATGTCTTAAGAAGCAAATGAATGCAGCCACAGAGCTGCATAAGTGGCATTCAATAAATACTTCAATCAACATGCATTAAAGACCAGAATAAAGGCTATTTACAATTTTCAGTAGGTAAAGAAACCACTATGATTTTAATGAGACACGAGGGCTAATTAGTAACCGGTACTTAATAAGACAGCAATAGCTGAAGGAAAAGAAAAAAAAATAAAAATGGAAAGCACCCATTCCTGTTTGAAAGCATTTTTCTTTTAGCATCGTTCTTGAACAGTTTCCACCAGGAAAATTGGCAGACAGATGGGTTTTACTCGTTTAAGTGGCAACGAGGAGCAGCCAGGTTGAAGCTGCACGGGGGCAGGGGTCGCCTGCTCAGCACCACGTGCGGATGGCCGGAGACACGAGGGGTGTTTGCACCCTGCAGCCCCTGGGCAAACCCAGCCTTCCTGCAGCAAAAAGAGAGGGCAGGCATCGCCAGCCTAGAGACACTTCTCCTTTCCGTGGTAGGCAACCTGATTTTCTCAGCCTCGCTGCCTTTGAAGCTCAGCCTCATGTGTCCGAGGATGGAAGCGGGTGCTGAGAAAGCAAAGTCTCTCTCCAAACTAATGGGCTCCGTGCCATTTCCCATCATTTTCTGCATTCGGCTGTGCAAACAATTGAACTCCTGGTTCGATTTCGGACCGCAGCGTTGCCGTGCTGCAGATCTCCTCCGTGGCAGCAGCGCTCCACGTGGAGGAGAAGCCACCTGTGGCTCCAGCAGGAGGACATCTCCTCCGTCTTCTAGTTATAAACAGCCCACACGGGGGGGAAAAATATTCTAGGGGATACAAGGCAGACACAGCTCTTGCTCAGATGTTTCTTCAAGCAAAGCCAGCCCCTGTGTGCATCCTTTTGGGGTCCTGTTCCCATATCAGGGGGCCCCAGGAGGACTTTGTGCTCTGCAGGTCACCTTGCCAGGGCAGCCCTGGGCTCACCACGGGTCCGACCCCGCTGCTCAAGAGCTTTAGGGGAAGGACATCACAACCTCTGAGAATCAGCAGCCTCCCCAAAAACCCTGTGGGAAACAAATGAATCATTTAAATGAGAAGAAATAAGGACTACAAAAGCTGTCACTTAGGCAAATCTGTGATCTAATCCCATGAGTCACAGCAGCTGTGCCTGGAAAGCAGCACAGGCGCTGCCTCGGCTCCTGGCGAGGCTCTGCTTCCTTTTACCACTCATCCCATTGACCTCCCAAAATCCTAACGAAGCCCTGGGAGGTGCAACCACCCATCCCTCCTGCCCTTTCAGCCAGAAATTGGCACCAGTGGGTAGCAAGACGAGAGCGCACGGGGGTAAATCACCACCTGCATCCTTCCCACGTACAAACCATTACCCAAAAAGTCACCCATCCTTCTCTGCCGCACAGACACGATGCTGCAGGAGAGATGCTCCGCCAGCAGATAGCAGCTGCCCACGTGCTTTATCCCCCTTTGGGATAACGGAACAGAAATTGTTAATTCCAGCGTGCAGAAGCAAAACGAGCACCAGGGTTTCCATTTGCACCTTTAGGAAGCGGCGCTGCAGAACGGCGAGGATTTGCACGACACGGGGAAATGTGAAAGGGAGAAAAACCTGTCAGAGGGAGCGCCCGTGGGGTGCCAGCGTTCCTGGCAGTTCGGCAAGGGTGGAGGATCAGCCTTCAAGAAAAGGTTAAAATTAACATCCCGATTAACTTACAGCTCATAGAAATCGGCACACAGAAACAGGGAGAAGAGAATTTGAGGATGAACGGAGTACATGTTAGATATCTCTTGCCTCTTCCAGGAAAAGGGGATATTCAGCTGACCTCGGTATGGGATCCCAGCCACTTGGTGGACAAACATCTTCAGAGCTGGGACAGAGAAAAAAAAGAAAAAAAAAACACAAAAAAAAAAATCTTTTAACCAGATGGAAGCAGAGGAACGTGCCAGCAAGACACTACACCATTTTCCTAGGCTCCATCCTTCAGCCTCTTCCATTTGCTTACAACAGGACGGTTTTGGAGCAAATCATCCTGGATTGTCAGGGTTGTTTTTAGGGTTGCAAATTCCCCACACACCCCACACCCTGCCCTGCTGCACATGGGGAGCTCTCGAGGCGAGGCGATGCATTGGTGCTGTAACAACCCCAGTTTTTTGGGATAACCGGTCTCATGAACCATTCTGGGAGACTCACAGAAAACAAACATGCCTTCAGCAGAATTAAATCACCTCCTTCCGTGGAGCATCGCTTACGGAAAACGCCCTCCCAAAATCTGCAGCAGGGCACTCGGTCCCAGCGAGGGACCCCCACAGGTTTTAATCGTCGCTCATGATGGGACGCAGCGCACAGGATCGCTTTCCCAAACAATTTACTCAGGATATTCTAATAAGGAGCAAATCTTCGGTGGCGTTCATGATCAGAAAACAGATCAGGGATGCTGCGCAGGAGGGAGGAGGAACTGGGGGAGAGAGAGGAATAAAGAGAAGGAGAATTGCTTTAGAGCCTAGCACAGCTCTCTCCGATGCCAGTAATTAGCACAGGGTTATGATTATCATCGCAAACAGATCATACGGTGGGATCATTCCACAAAAGCACTCGAGGGCTCACGGTAAAATTTAATATCAAATTGCAGCGTGGAGAGGAACAGCTGCACAAGGCAGGCCAAAGAAGAACTGCCAGAGGATGCGCAGATATTAAATAAGCCCTGTGGAAACAGTCAGAGGGACTACGGGTACAGTAAATCCTGGAGCAGAACCTCTCTCTCACACACACATGAATAAAAACAGCAAGATAAGAAATTAAAAAAAAAAAATAAAAATCTCCTTTAGCCTAATCCCCGTGGAGCACAAGGGCAGGCAGCAGCACTTTGCTCAAGGAGTCTTCTCGGCATCACCTCCGCTGCGTTTCCCCTCGTCTAGACATCTGCTCTCTGCATGCAGAGCGAGCGCTGCTTACGACAGAGGGGAGATCTGCCTTGCATTCCCCATCCCCGTTTGCAGGCATTTTGCAGAGACACAGCCGATGACGCACGTTATGAGCCTGGGAGGGAGGGGGTCGGGGCTTGCTTCACGTTTTGCTGCAGAGACGTGCCCCGAAATCACTGCAGCCCTTGTAAAGACCCCTGCGAGCAACCAGGCAAGGCAAAGCTCAGCAGCAAGAGAGGATCTGAGCCCCACAGGGATGCAGATGGGGGGGTGAATGGGCTCCGTACCTGGGGAATTGAGCAAAAGACATCCCTGGGGATACGTTTCCCCCTTGCAAGTTGTGCTGCAAAGGTGGAGAGGGGCAACAAGGGAGGGGGGAGATCAGTGGGTCCCCAGGGACCCCCAAAGGGGCAGAGCAGCTTGCTCCGAGCTGCACATCCTCACCCAGCTGGGAGCCCCGGGCTCAGGAGCAACAGCAAACAGACAGACAAGAAATATCTCCCCTTGGGGTATTAGGGGTGCCAGCCCTGCTCCCTTCTCCCCATTTTTCCTGCATCGCATTACGAACGCGGCAAATCCCCGAGGAGATGCAGGAGCACTTGTGCTAATCAGATTCCAGCAGCCGCCAGCGCATCGCAGCAAGCTACGGGCAGCAGAGAGGGGATGCCCCCCCCCTCCTGGTGGGAAAAAAAAACCCTACAAGGACCAAGCCCCTCTGCACAGACCGTTTTCTCACCAGGTGAGCACCAAAATCCTCTCCGCAGCCCAACCAGCTCACGTGCACATCAGGGAGAGTTTGGGTTAAATAAGAATTAATGCGAAATTAGGCACATGGGTGACTAAAGGGGAGAGCAGAAGGGATGTGTCTGCAGGTCCCTCAAGCCCTGCCCAACCTGCAGCATGGGCTCCAGGCTGGAAAACCTCAATTCGGCACAGGGCTGGGGGGCACAAAGCCCCTGGGGGGGGTCCTGAAGAGCCCAGGACACCTGCAGACAGCAGCTGCTGCAGATGAAATCAGCACCATATCTGCAAGACTGCAGGCTTACAGGAAGGACAGCGCTCTGCTCCCACGGGGGATGAGATTTCCCCAAAATCTGGGCTCTGTGCACTCCCCAGGGTCAAGTCTCTGCTCCTCACATCTGCCACCGTGCTTGCAGAGAGCCCAGAGCATCACCTCCCATCCATCCCAGAGGGTCCGCAGCATCCTCACGGCGTTCACCAGCCCTCGGGGGAAAAAAGGGGCAGAGGAAAGGGCCCCCGTGAGGCTGAGACACTGCAGCAGCCTCAGCACATCACAGGAATGCTGCAGGTGCTATTGATTCCCGGAGGCAGAACAAGACATCAGCTAAACAGCGACGCAGCAGCCCTAATGAGGTGGGGAAGAAACAGAGGGAAAAGCAAAGCAGGCTGAAGACTGCAAGGGGTGGCTGGGGCTTGGCACAAATCCGGGATGTTCGCAATGCCCAGCAGCACCAACTGATGCCCAGAGCATCCCAAAATCTCCCCAAAAACCCAGATGATTCTGGGACACTCCAGAAGCAGAGGAAGCCACCACTGAGTTCCCCGTGCTGGAAGCTGAAGCGAAGTAAAAGCAGAGCTGGGAACGGCGTGGTTTTAATTGCAAGGGGTGATTTCCATACCTGAGAAGGACATTCAGGGGGTGGTTATTGTGCATCACTCAGCCTTGAAATTAAGATGCCAAGATATGCAAGAGCTCGAAGAGAAGCAGGCTTGGGGCCACGGCTCGTGGGAGGCCGGATTCGATCGGCTCCGATCCCTCCTCGCTCCAAAGCCACCGAGTTTCCTCACCCGTGTCACATCAGCCGAGCTCAGCAGAGCACAAACCCCGTGAAATTAAACCAGATCAGGGCTTTCTGAACAGAAACGCTTTCATCTAGCCCAATTTAACACCAGCTGCCCTTCCGTGCAGATCCGCAGCCTGCACCCGAAGCCCTGCGCATCCCCTCCTCGCCTCGGTGCCCGCACGCAGAGGGACAGGACCAGACGTATCGGGTCTCCTGGATAACAGGAGACACGAAATATGGAACCTGGTTTTTAAAAGAAAAGTTAGCAGGCATTAAAAAAAAGCACAAGACTAGTCCAGGTGCCTGCGGTGACAGCGTACACGTGTTTTTGCTGACAGAGCCCCGACCCAGCACTATTCAAAATTGCCATCAGCAGCATCTGGGCTTGCAGGAGGAAATCCAATTAGGCTCCAGCTCCTTGTCACCCCAAATAAGAAATATTGGCATCCTGCACCCCCCAAATCATCCCAGCACAGTGGACAAGGCCCCCCCCTTCCCATGCCCAGTGCCCCTCCAGACTGAGGGCGAGCTGCCATGAGATGTGCACGGGGTTTGCATCGCTCCTGCAATACAGGGCTGTGACTGCAGAGCTCCTGATTTATGGGAATAATAGGAAATTAAACCGATATATCACCTGGTATCTAGTGGCATCGTATACTGTTAATCCTATAAGCACCAAGCAAGGAGAAGATGCGGCTGCGCGCAGCCAGCCCATAGCCCAGCGATCCCTCAGCCCTGGTGATTGCATTTACCCCAAGCATTAAATGGGCTGAGAAAAATGGTGTGAAAATAAGAGTTCTGCAAACTCACCTGCCCTGCTTTGTCCAGCTTTCAGCCTGCCCAGAGTAGCTACTTACGGCCACCAGAATTATTTATCTTCAGCAAAACCCACCTGCATTGGGGCTGGGGTGCCCCCAGTGCCATACAGATGTACCCCAAGATGCCCGTGGTGGATTATCCTCACCCACACAGCAGGAAAGATGGAAAAGCGTGCAAGGCTCAACCCTAAAATCTTCCACTTCTCAGCCAGAGCTTTTTGCATGACCTGGGCCCAAATCCAGGCTGTGGTTTGGTGCAGAGATTTAACCCAGCCCCAGGAGCCACGGTGGCCGTGCCCCTCTCCAAGCTCACCCAAAGCCTCCAGGGAGCCTGGGGCACCCTCAGGACCTGGAGAAGTCCCCAGATAAATTTCAGCAGGTGCCACAAGCACTCAGCTTGTGTGACAGTCACTCTCAGCCTAGGTATTCTCCAAGCTTTTCAAGCAATTCCCCATGAATTCTTCACATCCCTTCCTGGTCACTTGGGGACACTGCATTCACCCAGTTCAGCTCAGTAATGGGATTTGCTTTGTTTCCTCTATTCAGGGGATCCAAGTACATTTTATACATTAACCTGAGCCTTTCATCAGCGCAATTAATTCAGCAGGCTGGGCTATTCATAGGGCCATTGTTAGTGAAAGATATGCAATATGAGCTAATAAAATATATAAACAACAACATATGGGATTGCAGAGCGGATCAGCAGAAAGTAATTAAGTGAGCTGGAAACTGGCCAGGACAGTAAAATGAGTTATTTTATTTTGATTTTTTTTTTTTTTTATGGACAGAAGCAGTGCAGACATCATGTTTCTTCCCAGCTCTGTGTACGAGCTGTGGGATCTGGACCTGCTTGCTGATGGTCCTGGCAGAGCCTAGATGGGATAATAGGAACTTTATAAAGGCAGCAGAACACCAACCCTATACACCCAAGAGCCCAGAATTCATGACAAACAGAAGTAAATGACCCCACTGACCATGACCCCATGGTCCAAACCCATCAGGAGCTGACCATCAGGTTATTAAATCACCCCAGGAGCTCCTGCAGTAACTCCCTGACCTTTGTTCTGCTCAGCATCCCAGGGAAGCACTTTTATCTTCAGAGCTCCAGCCCCTTCCTCACCAAAAAATAATAAATAAATAGATAAAAATCAAACATGAGCCAGTGTCAAAGCTCTGCCCCCAAGAGACCTGCACCCTCCAAAACCAGCTCCTCTTCCCCCTCTGGGTTTTATTAGGGGGCGGTTGCTGCAGTGATTGGGCTCCTGCAGCTCCACCTTCCCCACAGCTGCACCCAGGGTCGATCAGCCCTTAGAGGACCTTCCACGACCCCATAACAAGTCCTGGGGGATGTCCCTGCCCCGTGGTGATGCCGGACCATGCTGCAGCCCCATCCTGCCCTGTCCCCGTCCCCATCGCCCCGCTTGGCCACCTGGTCCCGGAGCTGCACCCTGACCTGGGCTGCTCCCACCCCTCCTCCGAGCACCCGCAATCATTTTTGCATCAGCTTGTCCCTGGGCTGGGGGAAGCAAACAACCCACGCTACAACACGAGAGGCCAAAAACGCCCAGAGATTGCCGTTGATGTGGGAAATAAACAGCCGCAAAGAGCAGCGAGGTCACGGTGAAGCACGGAGCCGGGGAGAGCGAGCCACTTCTTGACTCCTTCTGCCTCTAGAGAGCATTGTTGCATTTTCTTCCCAGCGAGAGACAAGAGCAGAGGCATCTCCCCGCTCCGCGAGCAGAAGCACTTGAAATGCTGCAGTGGCACGGCACAGCCTCCCTGCAAACCCCCGCACGTCTCTCTCGCAGGCTCCGAGGACTCACAAAGCCTCGCCGAGAAGGTCGAGCTGGAGGTTTGGATCCAGCTCGTTTTTCATCAAAATGCTTCGGTGGCTCTGAGCAAAACACTTCTGGGGAAAGGGCGAGCATTCCTTCCCGAGCAGGGCGAAACGGCTCCACGGAGAGGCACGGTGCAGGCAGGGCATGGAGAGGGAGCTGCGGGCACAGGGAGGAGGAGGAGGAGGTAGGAGGAAGGAGAGCCTTCGTGCACATGAGCCCTGCTCTGCTCACACGTGGATACAGCCCTTATTCAGGCACTGAGAGAGAGAAGAAATCCCTGAGGGGACCCACAGGGAGCCCCATCACTGCCCCTGCCCTGCCCTGTCCGCAGGATTTGGCCCCCCGTGCCCTCTCCATGGGACCCCGGTGCCACCTCTGCTCCCCTTCCTGCCCTCATCCCTCCACTGCCAAGCCCAGCTCGTTCTCCACGATCAATTAAAACATATTTTTAAAGGAGTATCATTACTGTCACGGGGAGAAAGGTCAGGGCTGGGCTGCAATAATGCCTTTCTCCCCCACAGCCTGAGTCAGGAGCCTCGGCCGCCGCGACGAGGTGCGGTGCCCGCCGGCAGCTGCAGGGCGATCTGTTGGGGCTGATGGCCTGATAAGAGGGCAGCAGAAATTGGTGAGAACACTGTTGTAATGAGCTGGGCTCAGCTCAACCACTCGCTGCTCGGGCTAGAGCTTTTCGAGGCTGATGTTTCTCGCATGGTTTTCTTCCAAGCAGGAGCGCAGCGGGGCAGGGAGGCTGCAGAGGACGGGAAGGAAAGCAGAGGGACAAGAGGGAGGGTGAATAAAAATAGCATTTTGCATTAGCTCAGCTACTGCAGAAGCCTTTAGAAAGCTCCCGTTTGCACACCCAGCAGGTCAAGGGGTGGCAGGAGCAGAACTTGGGCTCCTCCAGGTCGCGGCCACTTGGGCAGACGAGGAGGATCTGGGCTGAGCACATTTTGTGCCTGGCTGGTGCCTGGGCAGCCAAGAGCTGATATAAACGGCACTGACCGGCCTGATTCTGCACTTGAAAAGGAAAGAGGAGCAGGGAATGGCCCAGTGCTACGGCCCAAAGCTGCTGCCCAGCCCCTGCCCCCTGCCCAAGCTCTGGCTGCACAGCTCAGGACCGAGCTCCCTGGGGCTGCTGCTGCAGGCGAGCAGCAGAGCCCGAGCACACGCCACTTCTGCACTGCTGGGAGCAGGATTTGCCCTGGAAAGGCTGTGCCCTTCACAAACCAGTGGTGTTCAGGGAGTGGGAAGTACCAGCAGCTCCCCTGGGTGTCGGCAAGCATCCTCCGAGCCCGTTGAGGGAGCAGGCTGTGATTTTGGGGCTGCCCGGGGAGCCAGCACCTTCCTTGCAATGAAAACCAGCTCCCTGAAACCTTTGGCAGCTTTGGAAATCTCAGCTCAGAGGGACACGGTGCTGACAACAGGGGTAGTGGGGGTCTGGGTGCTTTAGCCCCAGCTGCTTCCAGGTGAAGGCAAAGCAAAACCCAGGCCAGGACGTGGGTAGGACTGGCAGAAGAGACAAAGTCCTTTGTTTTTTTTTTCCCCTATCCCCTTCCATCTCCAAGGCATTCGAGAGACACGAAAGGTCCCACCTCGGTGGCATTGGGTTTGCTCTGGAAGCACCGATCAGCCCGTCTGGACGTGGGCTGTGAGCTCCTGGTGGCTCCTGGAGGTGACACTGGCACGGGGGGAGCCCCTGCTCCATCGTGTCCCAGTCCCTGCAGGCAGCGGCACCGGCCTGGCCGTTCCTGGAAATCCCCCCCCCCCGATGTCAAAACACGGGCAGGAAGGAGGCTGATTCGGAGGCTGTTTTTGTGACTTTTGTTCTGTTATTTTTTTGCGGTGGCCCTTCTCCAAGTATGAAACAATTGGCCAGCCGCGGGATCCTGCTATGAAGTCAGGAGTTATATTTAATTTTCGGCTTCCCCAGCGGGGCTGGGGTTTACCAAAGAAGCAGGAAAGGGTCGGGCACCTCTCGCCTTGCAGGAGGCTGTAACGGAGCGCATGGACACTGCTGCACAGCCTGGTGCTGCTCTGGGGCTTTCCTGATGCTTTATGGATGATTGCAACAGAGAAAAGCCAGAAAATCAACCTGCACTGCACATTTAGGTGGCCAGGCTCTAGAACAGGGTTATTTTTAGCCAGAAAATGGAAGATATTTCGTTCTGCTAAACCGCCCTCTGGTAAGCATTGAAAACCCCACAGCCCCCGCGAGCAGAGCAGGAGGAGCAGGGCAAATCCTTTGTCCTTTGCCTTCGTTTGATGCTGGACTCGGTAGGAGAGACTTTCCTCGGCGCTGCGCAGGTTTTGGCAGGCTCTCAGTTTTCACACCCACTCAAGCAAAAGTGTATTTTCTAGCACAGCAAAGTATGTCAGGCCATTGATTTCTTGGGCAACGGCACTGCAGAACAGGCAGAGCTAAACTCGGTGATGCATTAGGCTGTTGGCTGCAAACCAAACACCTAGTAAAAATTGCTTTAAAAACAAAAAGATGCTTTTTTTTTTTTTTTTTTCCCCATTTTGCTGGTGCGCTTGGAGAACAACCTGCTGGCTTTTAGCTTTCCCCTTCTGTCCTTGGTTACCCTGTGCCGAGCAGGAGGGAGCGCATCCCTCGGGCTCCCAAAGAAGATAACATCAGCTCTGGCTCTGAAAAGCAGCGAAGTATCAATAGGAAAGCACCGTGTTTAATCACCTGCCTTGATAATTTGGCATCTGGCAGCGGCAGGCAATGAGACGAGCAGCCCTGAGCGATGGGAGCTGCCAGGAGCCACCAACCAAACCTCCAGCTCCTGCTCCCGCGGAGCATCTCGTTCCTGCCACCATGCTCCCAGCTGCTCCGTATGGACCAGCGAGGGCTGAACAAGCACCGTGCCTTCTCTTTAAGCAGCATTTAATTCGGAGATGTTCGCTGCTTTGCCTCGCCTCCGATGGAGGACGAAGCTCGTGGGAGCACCGGGCGCAGCGAGCAGCTGAAGCCTCCCCCAGCTCTTCCCCCGCCGCGTTCCCCGGAGCTCGCGGCGCCCCGGGATTTCGGCTGCTTTGATGACGAGCGCAGCGAGTTTCTCCTTCTGGCCTCCAATCCCTTCTGACAGGTTCGGCCAGATGGGGAGCCGTGATTACGGGAGCGTCGGCTGGCACCGCTTCCACCCGCTCCGCTTCGCTTTGCGCATGCTGGATAACGGGAAGCCCTCGGCTCTCAAGGCTTGGCCACCGCGGGCTCCACGTGCAAACAGCGGCACCTAAAAAGCCCCCATCCTTCAAAAAAAGCCTGATATCTCCTTCTGCTGCTGATCTGCAGCACACTGGCTGAGTTAGCTCCAGATATGCAGGGGTTGAACTCAACCGTGTCCCTCCCCACCTTGCTAATCCCTTCCCAAAACACCCGTGGGGACCGCGAGGATCCGCTCGGCTGGGGGCAGGAGGAATTGCTCGCTGCCATCACCACGCAGCTCTGCCGTGGAGATCTTAAGGCGCTCGTAATTCCTCTGGAGAACATTTCCAGGCGTGCCCGGATGAATTATTCACCAAGAATAAGAGATGAACCCATCTGGAAGGAAGAGAAAAGGCCACTGGAATCGGGCCAGCAGCTCTTTGCTGTGATGCTCTTGCCAGTTTGCAAAGTTTGTGTTTGCTCCGAGGAAGAATACAGCAATTATTTATATTGGGTTAATGGAAGGGGGGGGAGTCACGGCGTGAAATAGAGCGTGAGAGGACTGGGAAGCAGAGCACAACCCCATCATCCTGGGTAGGAGGAAGGGGGGAACCCACCTCAGCCTTGCAAGAATTAAAAAAAAAATAAATCTCAGAACCACCCTGGCTCATTTTTACCCCATTCACATGGCAGCGCCGGGAACGCTCGAGCCCTGCTGCAATTTTTAGAGGAGGAAACATATTTCAGTAGTGTTTGCTGGAAAGATCGTTAGGATAACAGTCACCCCCGCAATGTTTTATTGCAGGCATTTACTTCCATGCTTCCATTTGCGGTGATTACTCCCCAAATTACTTCTAAACATCCAAACTACAAAGGGAAGGGCTTAGTCTAGGGCCGGGATTGATTGCTGCGTTTTCTCTTGCAGGACTAATAATAAAATATCTGTTCCTTTTGCAGCATTTTGCTTAAAGAGCTGCTGGAGCTCGTGGCTGCTGCCCCTCCGCGCCAGGGGGGCTGGGGCAGGGACCTCCAGAACACCGACCCACAAGAGGCATTTCCCCAGATTGAATCTACTTTAAAAGGGTGGAAAAAACAAGGAAAAGAGACAAAAAAATGAAATTTGCATAAGGTGGTTTGAGAGCACATCTCAGAGCAGTGTTGGGTAACAAACACCTGGGATTTCAGCTTCTTTAATCAACATTTAGCGCAGATTTAATAATGTGTATTAGGAGCAGGCAGGCAAAAGGAGTTTGGGAAGCGACAGGAAAATAAAGCAGATAAATGCACTAATTGCAGCTTATCTGACAGCTCCGCTTTCCCCTCTACA